GACAATTTTGCATCTTCCACACCTCGTCTGGCTCTGAAAAGGATCTAACGCAAGTCCGACATCTCGTATAAGATGCGACAGAACAATCCGTTCAAAACATTTCATAACAACTGATGCGAGGGCAACTGGTCGAAAGTCATTCAATTCTGTAGATTTAGCGTTACTTTTCTTTGGAACCGGGATTATTTCTGACGTTTTCCAAACGGATAGTATTGTATGATTATCAAGTGAAATCTGAAATAGCTTATAACATATATGACGTAATTGATCACTGCTTTTTTTTTTAACACAATGCCATCTAAACCATCTGGGCCAGTGTCTTTCCGGATATTAATTTAGGAAAATTGGAGTCTCAATGTCTCTTCTGTGAATTCAATCCTATCGCCATCGTCTCTCTCAATCTCGTTGATGACACGTTTCCGTTCCTGACAGAAATCATGTAAATCGAAGCGCGCGTAAAATGTATTCCATTGTTCAGCATAGTGCCTGTCATCAGTGACATTGAGACGAGAATATTTCCTTTCATTCCCTATCATAGTCCGTACACCCTGCCAGGCTTGTCGGGTGTTGTTGTTCCGAAATTGGGCCTCAACTTTGCTTTTAAAGTCATCTTTACACTTCTTTACTTGTACATTAATAATTCTTTCTGAATAACTTTCAGCTTCACAGTGTCTTTTGTACAGAATGCCCTCTTTTTCTGACTTAAAAGCAATTTCATTTCCTTCGTAACCCATGGTTTGTTATTTGGATAGATATTTATTTCTTTGGTTGTAATATTGGAATCCACGCAGAATATAATATACGATGTGATGCTGTCAACTCGCAGGGGTCACTGGTGTTGTTAATGAATACATCCCAGTCTGTACAATGGAAACATCCCTGAAGACGCTCAAGAGAATCGCTCTCCCACGATTTTGGTTTGAACTGGATCAGGTTTTAGCTTCTGTTTGTAAACTGGGATGAGGTGAACAGAGTTGTGATCACACAGTCCAGTTGGTGGTTTGGTAACTGCCTTGTACACTTGTTTGAGGTGGATTGTTCTGTCATTCCGTGTCCAACATTTACATACTGCTCATAATGCGGTAAGGATTTTTCCATACGTGTTCCGTTGAAGCCTGCCAGGATTCAGGGCTGGTGGATTCTAATTTCTGCACCTGGTTCTGAATCACAGATTCCGCTTCCTTGCTGTTTGCACTGGGTGGAATATATACTAGAATCGCAAATAGTTGGCCGAATTCACGGGGCAGGTAAGAGGGTCTGAAGGACACCAATAGGAGTTCAATATCACGAGTGCAAGCCTTGACCCTAAGCACATAGTTCTTACACCACTGCTGATTGACGTACATACAGACACCGCCACCCACAGACTTGCCCGTAACCTCCTCTCTCCTGTCCAAACCAATTGGTTCCCCGAATCCAGGTAGCGATAGGGTGTTATTTACGACAGTCTCGTTTAGCCACGATTCAGTAAAGCACAATAGACAGCTGTCTCTATACTCGTACATATATCTGGTACATGCACATAGTTCTGTCATCTTACTTCTTATGGAGCGGACGTTAGCAAGCATGACTGTAGGCAGAGGAGGTCTATACTTCCTGGATCTGACTTGGCACCGTGCTCCTCCCCTCTTACCTCGATTCCTGTTTTTCCTGTCTGAATTCCTGTTATCCTTCTTTTCTTTGTCCGAAGAATTAACTACACATTCGAGTGGCAAATCCAGATCGATGTCCATTGCGAGATTCCGGTCCCTGAGTACCAAGAGTTGGTAACGTCCATACTGCAGCTGTGACGGGACGTTAAAGCCTCCATGGCAACCGTCATAACAACTTTCTCCGGTAGCTGCAGAACTTCCAAAAACTAATGCGTTCAAGATGCAAAAAGTCAGAAGGAGATGCTACATGCCTTCACTGTTCATACTCCAACACATACACAACGTTTCACAACATGAAGACGTATTAAACTTAAATAATATCACAAATAAGTGAGAGCTCTGCCAATACGTGTTGCTACCGTGCAGCGCCACCTAGAACAAAGTGCCTCACTGAATAGTTCCTCCCATACAGAATCGTCGTCACGAATCTGTCTCAAACTGCTGATCACAACAGCGGCCTCGCTTGATGCACGAATAAGGTCAATGGTCGGAGACTGCAACATGAGAGATAACTGAACTGTGTACTGGACTATGTGTTGAGTAACAACAAGGCCAGTGATGAAGTCAAAAGATTGAATGGAATATCTAAGGGACCTTGCTCTAGAGTCGCCATCTTGCTCAACTTTCAACTATAACATCGCTTCGCTCGCATATACAAAGACTGGTCATTTTCTCTTTGTTGCGCAACCCTGTTTGCGCTACAGTTTGCCTGTGATCGAATGATGCTTTGAAAGTGGATAGCGAACCCGCACGACTTGCCCAACGTGTTTCACAGAGTTCAATAATCTTTCGCTTTTGCCCCATTGCTGCCTGACCATTCTCATTTGATTCCAGTTCCTTAGTGTATGCCAAGAGACGTTTTGCCGAATACGAAAACGCAAAGTCAATGCTTTGTACTGTTGACATAATATTCTTGACTGCTGTTATGGAACAGCTGTCACGATATGGCTGAAATATTGCCGATGTGACTTTAAATCTTAACTCACTCACTCACTCACTCACTATGGAACAGCTATGGACCAAGACCAGATTCAAACAATGAGACTTGGCCCCTCATATAGCATTTCGTAACCCCATACTTGTCGAGTTCTGACAGGAATGACTCGGCTAAGGCAGTTGCCTTTGTACTGTCAGCCTCAGTGAAGCCTAAAAATGATTCTCATATAGTTTGACCCTGGTCGTTCAATGAAATGTGTCGGACAAAGATAGAAATTTATTCTTTGGTTGAGGAATCTGTTGCCTCGTCAGCAATGAGAGAAAAACATTTCTATGAATTGCAGTCATTAAGCAACTGGTTTCTAATTTGTGATGAGCAAATATCAAGAAGCTCATTTTGAATGGCTGGTGATAAATATTAGTTTCTAATTGTGCTGTTTTGCTGATGACTTTTCAATATCTCACGATAATGCAAGAGGGCTACAAAATTGCTTTTCTCAGCATCATGACCTCTAATAGCAATATTCCGTCTCCCGCAGAAAACAAGTGTCTCAACTAGTGTTTTGAGAATTGAACAATTTCTTTCAACGGTTTCCTTGTGCGCAGAAAAGGTGGCAACAAATATCACCCTGTTTATAGCTGACAATTGTTCTACAATTCAAAGATTTCTCGGCACAAAAGTGATGGGAATCAAGTTTGGTATGTCTCTGAATAAGTGTCCGGATATTTGCCCAATCACGAACGTACGATGTAACAAATGCGCCTTTATGATTATCATTTGAAAAATGAGCACATGGTAAGCAGATGACGCCATCTTTTGAAGGAGGATATTTCAGCCAATCATTGTTATCAAGATGTGTTGGATTAAATTTCCGTGTTACACCTCTAATTTCCGTTAAAGGATATGTTAGTGTTTTGTCAGGCCTTACATCTGTTGAATATAAATGTTTCAGAAGATTAGAACGAATTTGTTCTGATTTTAGCTCACTTTCTGTGTACAAGCCAATATCAGTACCAGAGAAACTGTAAGACAGTTTCGGTGAATCTGATTGCCAGTCACGCCTTCTTCCTCAACAGAGCACGAAGAACAGTTATTGGAATTCGTGTTGGTTGAACTAGTAAATGGAACCTCTGTTTTTGCCTGCAATTTTACAAAAAAAGGATAATTTTTTTACAGTTCTCACTTTTAAACTTTTTACTCGTGATTTCCGAAGGAGACCAAATGACTGACAATTTATCTCATGTATTATCTATATTAACTGTAGTTTCCTAAACGTTAATTTGTTAAAATACCTGTATTTTGATGTGAATAGATTTTAACAACTTGACAATATGGCGTAAGTGTTTGGTCTGACACAAGCAAAAGACGCTAATGCCACACAACTAAATATCAACATTTTTGACACTTCTAAAAAAATAAACATTGTACTAGTGACTGTGTGATTGGAACCCGAACCCGTTAGTCGCCTCTTACGACAGGCATGGGTTACTGAAGATCAATATTCTAACCCGGATCTTCACAGGTAGAGGCAGGAGATATACAGGCAATAGTATCAGTATATATCAGACAGTATTAGATTAAATCGTCAGTAAACGCAGATGGGCAAACAAAGCAGTTGGGGTCGTATAAACAAATTTATAAACTAATTTCCGTAATTGACGTAATCTTATTGATTTGCAGATTAACTAATTGATTGAAAATATATATAACTTGATACGTTGAGAGTGAGTGAGTGTGGTTTTACGCCGCTTTTGGCAATAATTCAGCAATATCACGGACACTAGAAATGGGTTTCACACATTGTATCCATGTGGGGAATCGAACCCGGGTGTTCGGCGTGACGAGCGATCGCTTTAACCACTAGGCTACCCCACCGCCCCTGATACGTCACGCACTAGGATGAAACATCACGCTTAAATCCTTCTTCTGTTTACACTGAGTGAATAAGTTGGTTTGAGCTTTGAACAGTTCTTTTATCCCATGACGTATAAGATATAACAGTGTTATCGCTGTATGAACCCCCCAGATGACAAACGTATAGGGACATGAGTTGACTCTGGGATTCGAACTCACTATTCCCCCAAGTCATGCTAAGGGACGCAACTCTTGATCTACACGGCGATTGTGTGTTCAAAATGAAGACAGCATTATAATAGGTAACCGTCTTTTATATATCCTTCACATCACTGCAAATATTTAGGAAAATTGATTGATAATTTTACGAAACCGACATAAACTGACGTAAATTGTCATAATAGCAGCAGCAGACTAAACTGTCACACAAATCGCCTGCAGCACATGGCAATCTCGTGCAGGTATATGCTCGCTAAATGTATTGTGTTCAACAAAACATCTATGAATATTCAAAGGTATTTCTTATGAAAGCGTCTCTTTCCATAAATAGACGACAAGCCATCAGTCATTGTGAGCTATTGCGTTCTCACTCACTTCACTTGTGGGACTTCCAGCGGTACAGAGGGTAACTGCAACGATCATCAAACAATACCTGTATTGCACGTGAGTTGTCAAACTTATGATGTCATTTTACCTTGAAAGCATTTCTGTTCTTTATCTATAATTAACAGAAAGAGATGTGTGTTTGCTTGGCATTGGAACCTGTCGAGAACTTGCATGTAATGTTATGGTCACGTTGACCTGGCCTTTATATGATTGCATGAGGGAGCTAGGTCAATGGAAATTATGTATGTACAATGAAACGAACAATGGTTTCATATACTTATCGATTTTGCGATAGCTGTCTTAAACAGGCCTTCCGTTTGGCGATATTAAGTAAAACATTATTCACTGCACACTGGAGCATGCTTTTTAATATTTGTCAAACTGGTCACACACAAAAAACAATTAAAATGTTCTGTGTAGTTGGGAATAAGGTTTTGGTATGAATCACATCTATTCGGATTCGAATCTCATTTTTTGAAGTTCGAGATGTACTTGAGTGTTATAACAACAACTGTGTATACAATAATATCTATTTCGTGTGTTAGTATATGCGAGATGGGTGTTGACAAACTTCGTTTATCGTACTGCCTTACCAACGATGTCGTGGACAGAGGGAGCGAGGTGCAAGGGTGTTGGGGTGCAAGGGTGAACATTTTGTGAAAAAATGTTTTTGGAAGAGGCCAAAACATACCTTAACCTGTGTATGTGCTTGCTTGAGAACCAAAAGGCACTCTTTCCCTCATGAATGGATTCTGAATTCTGACGTCTCTTGATTGTATTGACCTCACTGAGTGACTTCTTCATTCACTCAAAGCTTTAATGAGTTGCTGGGCGAACCAACTTGAGATGTTCTTGCAAGGACAGACGAAGACTTCAGAGTATGTTCCAGTCAGACGACGCTGGTCACTCGCAAACGCGAAAATGTGATTCTTTAAAGAATGTAACATGAAATGTCGATTGTAGCGGCGGTCTGTGAATAATTGAGTCTGGACCAGACAATGCAGTGATCAACAGCATGATCATCAATGCCTGGGATATGACGACATGTGTCCACGAAGTCAGCGAGCCTGCCCACCCGATCGCGTTAGTCGCCCTTTTTACGACAAACATGGTTTAATGAAGATCAATTCTAACCCGGATCTTCACAGGTGCTAGGCTACTTGTTAAAAGCTCTAGTAAGGTTTTGAAAGTACAACCAGTATTGTCCTTACCTTCAGTAAAAAAATGTAACGATATTGGTATTTATTATACTGAAATTACTAAAGGACAAACGCTTTAATAGTAGGTGGTGCACGCTTGTTTACCAACCGTCTTAAAATGTTGCTCAGGAAACGAAAAGATTTCGGACTGACACAGGAATGACTATATATCCCATGGTATAACATGTCGCTGTGGATAATTGTTAGAAAATCATGTACAATTCGATGTACCGGTAACTGGAAAAATATTGCAAGCATCATTGAACCAAATCACCTCACCCAACCACATCTCAAATATTCAAGTTAGCCTGAACACAACCTTCAAATTATTTGACTTCCTTTACTCAGAATATCTTCTGTTACTGTTAAGTTTTACTTGGAATACCATTCTCACCAAGCATGATTCTTAAAATGAATTCAAATATACAGACTATGAGACCAAGGGTATCTCTGTCACCCCTTTGAAAAGCCCTTGGTGTTCAGGGTCACCATCACTATAGTTCAAGCCACCTGTTATGTTAATTAATATCTTGTTTAGGCATTACTATTTCTAGTTACAGAAGTAGGAGCTAAGTGAAACGCTTCCGAAAATGGGTGTAAACAGGGTCAGTTCATTCAGTTTGCAACAGATAATGTAGATCAATCTGAGAGCATGGATTGACGCATATCATGACGTTTCTGCCAAACAGGTGACTGTTTGCCAAGGTTTCCGAGGTGGTGATGCGCTAAAAGAGATGGGTTCATATGTCCTTTACCAAGCAATTTGTCCAGACTTTGCTGAATCAAATTGCTTGATGTCTTGAACAATTCATGTAGAATAAAATGAATCACTAGATTGTAACATTAACAGTATTGAGTGAGGTCACCTCCATGCCTATGATCAAACTGAATCCCACACGCAAAGCTATATTTGCTCAACTTATGTTGTCAGGTCAAGTTGTACACAGTACACATTCACAAACCATGTTGTCAGGTGTTGTACACAGATTCATATTCTCTTGGAATTCAGCTGGTTGTATTTGACAGGTAATATCTCACATAGGACACTTCAATCGGTTGCATGAGGTTACAGCAGAAAAGAATTGATGTGGATTTCAACCTTTAGTAATAAATTATACACTCTTCTTTTAGTAAACCTAAACCTAGTGTCATAGACAAATACCTGGAGAGCAAAGAGCACCACTTATAGTTTCTTAATTGAACTCCTATTTGCTTTGGAAATAGCCACTGCAAGTATACTACCATGGCAGAGGCAAACTGATTGCCAAGCAAGGAAACAATATCTACACATTTCAACATCTTACAATAGCACAGGGCTCTAGTTCTTAACTTGATCCTCTCTCTGTTCAAGGTTTATGAATGAATGTGTGTTAGTTTTAGAGATGTGAAATGAAATTTCAATTATTAGAGACTTACCTTTGGATGGACATACAAGCTGTCTACTAAACTTCAATAAATAGGCATCTGTACCATCAAATATGTGAGAACAGCTTCTCAATATTGATAGAGGATAGTTCTCTTTCAGAAGAAGCTAAACTTTGAGACACAAGAGGAACTAAATTGCCTGTTCCCGAAGTAGTGTTTATTTTACCCTTTAAAATAGAAACTAAATGCTCTGATAAGTCTTTTTTTTCTATGGTTTTATGAAAATTATATGACTTTTACAGCCCATGTGTTAGTAGTTCCTTGTGTCCTCTTTGAAAATATATATAAAAATGTTTATTTGTGTCTCATGTGAGATTTTAAAAATTATTCACTGAAAATTTCAATTTTTCAACTTTTTATCCCCCCAAAATAGGACTTAGCATAATGTTTCAAGGGAGGACTTTTTAGTACACATTAGTTATAACTCAAACATGTTCCAAACACTGAAATCATTTCTGTACCAATTGTTGGGAGGTTTAATCACATTTTGACTGGACTATAAAGCCAGTGAACCTATTTAGGTTGTTGAATTCTCTGGCCCTTTTCCCCATAACAGTGTCATTGGCAGGTGTTATTAAAATATGTGGAAATCGCCTTTGAAATGTCTTGATTGTATCCCAAGTACACCGTCACCAGGCCAATTGTTCTCGGTGCCCTTGGTTTGATACCTCCTGATCTCATGACGCAGATCAGGAGAGTGCCCGGGTTCTCCACCAGGAGCACAGCTCTTCTGACACTCTGGACAATGCAGGAGGCTGCAGTGTTGGGGAGCCTTCATATTCTCCGGAAAGTTCTTGGTGAGTTCCACTTGGCAGTGTTTCCTGGTAGAACTCCCATTCGCTGTCTGGGCTGCGTGTAGAGGGGGCGAGGGCCCTGAGTTGATGATGAGCCTTACCAGCCTGACTGTGCCAGGATCGCCCGAACCCTCTCTGCTGCATGTTTTATCTTAATCTGAAAAAAATGGGTCGATGGCGGGTTTGGGGATTCAATTCAGATAAAACATGTATTGTTTTCAGACAAAGTGAGTTGTAACGATCAACACGCTGTTTCTTACTGCAGGGACAATGTAGAACAACGTTTAACCTTCACCCACACACTCACCCCCAGCCCATGCATGTACAACGTGGCCACGTGTATTTTATTGCACGTGGCTGTGGATGTTATGAATGTTGTCACGTGTGGATATTGTCAATATATTAACCCTGGGTTTTATCAGCGTTCGAAAGACCTGCATGGCCGACCGCCCAGGACGGGTTATTTTCAACACGGACTGCCACATTCTCAAATTCACCTGCCCGACGGTCAGGTTAAAATTTAGGCATGTATATCAAGATATTTTTGGGACAGGTAAGTTTTGGTCAGGGCTGGCAAGTTTTACACCTAACCAGCCCTGTGGTCTGGTTTCATACCCTGGCGTTATACACCACTGTGTGATAATTGTAATAACGACAAAATTAGTTCCATGTCATTCTCTACCATGAAGAGGGCCCATTAAACGATTGTGACTTTCAAAAAACGTCTGTTTATATGAACCACTATCAAATTGTGATGCTTCACTGTTGCAGAAACGTTCATTTATGATATATGCATTGGCAACGCATGACGCCATCCGCGTACTCAACGTTGGTCACTCGTGTAGAACCCGTCCGTCACTCGTGTAATCCCCATGCAATGATATACAATGAATCTGCATTCATAGACAGTGACAAAGCGATTGCTGATCTTGAACCAGTTTAAATCCGATAGGCTTTAACTCTGAACTTGCACTCCTGTATGAAGTCGTCGGGTTTAACAAATTTAACACGATACAAAAATATTGCTAAACTGATCCGAACCCCCCGAGAGAGAAATATCATCCTTGAAAGTGTTTCACCCATGCTGTTATGCAACTGCCTTTGGAAATGATGGAAAATTCTGTTCGTTTGTGGGGCGGTGAGGTAGCCTAGTGGTTAAAAGCGTTCTCTCGGCACGCCGAAGACCCGGGTTTGATTCCCAACATGGGTACAATGTGTGAAGCCCATTTCTGGTGTCTCCCGCCGTGATATTGCTCAAACATTGCTAACCGCGCCATAAAACTATGCTCACTCACTCTTTTGTTTGGTGATTAACGCCGCACTCAACTATATACTGTTTTATGACGACGGTGGTGAAATAATCGAGTCTGGACCAGACAATCCAGTGATTCACATCATGATCATCAATATATGCATTTGGGATACAGTGGCTTACATCAACCAACTCAGCGAGCCTGATGACCCCATCCCGTTACTCACCTCTCACGACAAGAATTGGTTGCTTAAAATCATTCCTAACCCAGATCTTCACGGGAGCAATCAAGCATAGGTGTTTGAAGATCAATCCTAGCCCGGGTGTTGACGGGAGCAGACAAGTATTGGTTCTTGAAGATCAATTCTAACCTAGATCTTCACGGGAGCAGACAATGATTGGTCCCTCAGGATCATTCTAGCCAAGATCTTCAGGGGAGCAGACAATGACTGGTCCCTCAGGATCATTCTAGCCAAGATCTTCAGGGGAGCAGACAACCATGGGACACTGGAGATCATTACTAACCCGAATCTTCACGGGTTGATGGATCTGAATTGGTGACTATTTCTGTATAATCTGGGAGTATTGTTACACTTCCGTATTCAATGTGTAATAACCTTGGACTACATGACAATTAACCAGTTTGAAAAATGACACAGGAAATTCGAAATTATTTTGAGTTCTCTGCATTTGCGATATTAGTTCCGATTTAGCTGGGTGGAAAACGGATCCAAGAGTTTTTTTCTGAGGAATTATTTAATGATTATTTAATTCCAAGTTCAGCAAAAAGAAACACAAGAAAATGATAAATCTTAGGAGTAACTGTCATTGTTCTTCACGCATTTGTCTGCAGTGACCGCCATAACATCTCCTTTTCAGATTAGCATTTTGTGCATCAATTTCAAAGAAAACGCCAAAAAATATATTGATGCCTTCAGCCCTCCCTCCTCCATCCCCACAGGGGCGGCGGATAGCCGAGTGCTTACAGCGTTCGCTCGTCATCCCGAAGACCCGGGTTCGATTCCCCACTTTCGAAGCCTTTTTCTGATATACCCCGAAGTGATCTGGTTGGAACATTGCTAAAAGCGGCGTAAAATTAAATTCACTCACACACTACATTCCCACAGCCAGACTCAATCAGTTAAATGTGTAAACCTTGAATCATGTTACAGCGTGACAGCACTATTGCAGATGAGACGTATTCGTACCAATACGTACACACAGTACGTGACACTTGGTCACGTCGTCAGCTCGGCTCCGGGGATTTACTGTTACAAAGCCACCACGAAACATTGTCTCGCGGGCTTAATACCTGTCTAATATTGTCAAGGCACGTTGTCTATTGTTTCCTAGTATACTTAAATTTTAATGCGGTTACAAGAAGAAAACAAACCTCTCATTCTTCAAATATGCAATTACAGTATGCATCCCTTCAAAACCTTGTACCGTTGTTCGTCAGTCGTGCTATTTTCCAATTTGAAGCAGGAACACTTTGGGAAAACACAACGCTGATGTAGAGGTAGTTTACTCTTTTTTCGCAATTTCTGTCAACTTGATTTATTCGTTTAGTTTTCAAAATCTATTTATAAATGTTCGTAGCACGCACCTGTTCACTCGACAGTTGTTGATGGATATCAGTTTGCGCCCTGACGCACAATATCAATGTTACATGTCATTGGCGGAGGAGTTGAATGTGCTCAAATTTTTCAAGCGCACGAAGTATTTGTAAGTTCAAAAATATTAAGCTTATGGATGTACCCGGAGTAAAACACTGTGATGGGTTCGATTCCCAACATGGGTACAATGTGTGAAGCTAATTTCTTGTGTCCCCCGCCGTGATATTGCTGGTGTATTGCTAAAACGGCGTAAAACCATACTCACTTCATAATATGGCTTGTGCCGATTTCCTTGGCCTTCTCCCGCAATCAAGTCTCGGATTGTGCTGTAAATATAGACTGAAGATAAATGATATGTGACTATATGTGAAGATTATTTTCACTTGCGGTACGATTTTCCGGCGAGGCTACACTTACTTACCAATCTGAGGTTTTCTTTTTAATCCAGCTTACATAGATTAAGGTGGATTAACCTGTGCTTATCCTCACAACTGGTCCACTCATTGACACATACTTGTAACCACAGGTATTTGAAAATATGTGTCATCTTTTCAGCACCTGGAGATGTTACCTGCGTTGGTCATCCTTTTGGTGATTGGTCAGCACAGTGTACGTCCTGAATGTAAGTAGTGTATATAAATAAATTTGACGAAACCTTTCCCATAATCGGAAGAAATTCACATTAAATCCGTAATATGATCTGGACACATCGTAACAATGTGTTTTTATATTAATATCAAATAGCGATGATTTCGCGAAAGTGCAAAGTTGACGTTCTTCACCGGTGTCACTCGTCAAAACACATGCAAAGGTTAGTCAATTGTTAAATGCTGGATCTTCGCTTCAATAACAGTTGTAAATAACAACTTATATGAAGCCCCGTGGCTACTGGTTACCCCTTTTCTGATCAGCGTCTCAATGCACACGAGGTAGATTTTGTGTTCGGTTTGGCAAATCAGTGAGTGAATGAGTTTAGTTTTACGCCGCACTCAGCAATATTCCAGCTACATGTATATGGCGGCGGTTTGGCAAATCAGAGCAAGGGTTTCTCGTGAAAACGATTAACCATCCCATCCCATATGCACACCCCCATCCCTACCCATCTGATATATTCGCCCAAATTGATGCCATATACACACCCCACTACTTCCCATATAGACACCCCACACCCTACAATCCCCAGGCACCCATGAAGGGCCACCTCCTCGTGGTGGGTGCTGGGTAACGCTAAGCGCCCTTCAACTCCCGTTGTGGACCCGGGGGAATATTAGGTCCACCAACCCGTTTGCCGTGGGTTGCGCCCCTGTGTCGGTGGAGGACGGGATTCTGGTGGTTGAGGGCAATAGGATCCTGGAACCGTGTTCCTGTTGCCCAACACACCACTTTGGCCCTTACTTCACCTAGACGGGTGGTAGAACTGGCCCGGTTCTATCAATCGGCTGGTCACGCCAAGCCCTGTGCATAGTTATTGTATTTGCACGTTTTTATTATTGGGCCTTGGACATTTTGATTTTCAATGTACAAATTATTTATATCTGAAATTGCCTAGAGTCCTATGCCAGAAGGCGGTGGCTCATGGGCCAATCTGGTGATGTTGACCTCTGAATAATGCATGTCTCGAATTTCTTGTCAAGGGCCGAACCAGTCTGGCATTACATTGGTAGATAAATGCAGCTATTCATGTCGTATTCACTTGAGTATAACACCCCCTGTATCCTTGGTGTCAGCATCTTGGAGATCCGGTGCTATGTGACACTGTCCTTGTTGACATTCCGTGGTGGATGGGGAGCAGGGGTGCCGAATATTTTTTCCTTTCACTATGGCGTCACAACAATCTGGTTCACTGAGAAATGAAAAGAAAAGGCGTTTGGATGAACTTGACCAAACTACAAGAAATATCTCTTCAAGTGCTGAGTCATGGGCTAGATTTCTGGTTATAGAGGGCAAAGATAATTTACCTATCAAACTTAATCCTTTTGCGATCTCCAAAGCAATATCTGGAATTTGTGGGGAAGTGGCGAACGTCACCCGTCTTCGTAGCGGCTCGCTTCTGGTCGAGTGTGCACGGAAACAGCAATCTCTAAATCTTTTGTCAATCAAAATGTTTGCAAATATTGAGGTTGCTGTGTCTGTGCACAGAACTTTAAATTCTTGTCGCGGTATTGTTCGGGACAGGGCTCGTTGTCTTTCGGATATGTCCGAGGAGGACATTGCAACAGAGCTTAAGGAGCAGGCTGTGACAGCGGTGAAACGTTTCACCATCAAGAGAGAGGGTGTCGTCATTAACACCAACACCTATCTCCTGACATTTGCTCTTGCAACCATTCCCCAATCAATTAAAGCTGGATACTTAAACATCGGAGTGGAGGTGTATGTCCCCAATCCACTCCGGTGTTATACATGTCAACGTTTTGGCCATGGGTCGAAATCATGTCGCAACTCTGTGGTGTGTCACCGCTGTGGAGACCATCATGCTGATCCAGACTGTCAAAAGAGTATAAATGCGCAAATTGTGAAGGTCCTCATCCTCCATCATCCAGATCCTGCCCAGTGTGGCAAAGGGAAGCGACAATTATGAAACTAAAGTGTGAAAAAAGTATTTCATACTTAGATGCAAAAAAACTGTATGCAACTCAGAACTCAATTCCTTTGAGTATAACTTATTCCGCTGCAGTCACGCGTGCTGTAGCAACATCATCTATTGCTTGCCAGACTGACTTGACATGGATCAAGTCAGAAAGACCTGTTTCAGCCAGTCCACAAAAGTCCCCAGTTACTGAACCTATGTCACCAGCTACACAGACTACTTCTTCTTCTCAGACTGTTAGTCAACCTGAGCTACAGTCAAAATCGGTAACCAAACAGCCCCACTCAGCCAGTTCAGCAAGAGGAAAAGGAAAAAAATTAAACAGAAAAGAGACACCTTCTGTCCCTTTACCTTCAGAGCTCCCCCTGGAGAACCCCTTTGGACCTCTCGACATGGAGGTCACAATGTCCTCACAGGACAAGCGGAGGAATAGCTCATCTTCCCATTCACGAGAGAGATCTCCGATTGAGCCACCATCATGACTCAATTGTCTACTGTAATTCAGTGGAATTGCAGAGGACTGAAGAATAACTTCAATGAAATACAGTTACTAATTCAAGATCTTCAACCGTCAGCATTATGTCTTCAAGAGACATACCTTAAAAATACTGATACTTTTAATTTAAGACGGTTTAGTGATTATCATTCCTTCTCCCCTCCAGGCAATAAAGCTACTGGTGGCGCCTCTATTTTGGTGCACCAGAGTGTCATTCACAGTCCTGTCACTTTAAATACGGATCTTCAAACTGTTGCTGTAGTCTCACTCTGCACATTGCTCTGACATTGTGCAGCTTGTATATACCTCCTTCTTCAAATATTCAACAATCAGATCTTCAAAATCTGTTTGATCAACTTCCGAAGCCATGTCTCATCATGGGCGATCTGAACGGTCACAATCCGCTTTGGGGAAGTGACCATATTAATACTAAAGGTAAAATCCTTGAGGAATTTATTTCCGATAATCACCTGTGTCTATATAACGATGATTCTCCCACTTATCTACATCCAGCTACGGGAACATATTCTTCCCTGGATTTGTCAATTGCTGACTCCAGCCTGTATAATGAATTTGAATGGGTGGTCCATGATGACCTATGTGGGAGTGATCACTTCCCCACCATTCTCAAAACAGTCAGCCCTGGGGATGATCTACCTTTATCGAGAAGGAACTTTGCCAGGGCTGACTGGTCATTATATGAGACTCTGTGTGCTGAACAATTAGCTCATGATCGTTTTAGGAACAGTGAAGATCCTATTCAGTCGTTTTCTGATATCCTTAATGGCATTGCTGACAGAACAATTCCTCAGTCCTCTGCGGTTCCACATATTCGTAAACCATGGTTCAATAACGAATGTAAACAGGCCAGAAAGTGTAGGAAGAAAGCAGAAAAATATTTTCGCCGACATCCTACTGTCCATAATTTAGATAAATTTAAAATGTTAAATGCCAAGGCGCGACGCAGTTTTAAACAGAATAAGCGTCAGTCTTGGCGAAACTATGTTTCCAAAATAAATTCTCGAACACCGATGTCAAAGGTGTGGAACATGATACAAAGAATAAAAGGCAAAGGTTCCAAATCTACAGTTCATCATTTGAAGGAAGGTGATAATTTGTTAACTGATAAGGCTGACATTGCCAATAAGCTTGGTGAAACTCTCGCCAAACATTCGTCTTCATCCAATTACGTCCCTGAGTTTCAGAAACATCAGAAACAACAGGAGAAGAAAAGAATAAATTTTACATCAGACAATGGAGAAGACTATAATGAATTATTTTCAATGCATGAGTTACGTACTGCCCTTGAGCAAGCTCATGATACAGCAACAGGGGCTGATAATATACACTATCAGCTCTTGAAACACTTACCTGATTCATGTTTGGAAACACTTTTAAATATTTTTTGATACAATATGGACTTCAGGGAACTTCCCAACCTCGTGGCGTAAAGCCATAGTAGTCCCTATACCAAAGCCTGGCCGGGATCATACTGATCCGTCTAATTACAGACCCATCTCTTTAACGAGTTGTGTCTGTAAAACCATGGAACGAATAGTAAATAATCGATTAACATGGTATCTTGAAACCAATAATCTCATAACAAATATTCAATGTGGTTTCAGGAAAAAATCGTAGTACCATTGATCATTTGGTACGATTAGAATCCTTTATCAAAAATGCTATAGTCAATAAACAACATGCAGTATCGATATTCTTTGATCTCGAGAAAGCGTACGATACCACCTGGAAGCATGGCATTTTAAAGGATTTACATGATTTTGGTTTAAGGGGTCGTTTACCTCTTTTTATATCACAGTTTTTAAAAGACAGGCAATTTCAAGTCCGAGTGGGCTCTACCCTGTCTGACCATTATAATCAGGATCAGGGTGTCCCACAAGGCAGTATTTTGTCTGTCACATTGTTTAGCATCAAGATCAACAGTTTATCCAAGGTTTTAAATGATTCCATCGATGGATCACTTTTTGTGGATGATTTTAATATTTCTTGTCGCGGTAAGAATATGCATACTATTGAACGACAACTACAGTTGTGTTTAAACAAAATAGATAAATGGTGTCTTGAAAACGGCTTTAAATTTTCTAAATCAAAAACTAATTGCATACATTTCTGCCGTAAATATAAACCACATAAAGACCCGGAACTGTTTTTAAATGGCACTCCCATCAAGGTTGTAAAAGAGGCCAAGTTCTTAGGTCTGATTTTCGACTCCCATTTAACCTTTCTTCCCCATATCAAATCTCTAAAAACTAAATGCCTGAAGGCACTCGATTTATTGAAAGTCGTGTCTAATTCAAGGTGGGGAGGGGATCAAGCTACGCTCCTACACCTATACAGGTCACTGGTCCGCTCGAAGCTTGATTATGGCTCCATCGTATATGGTGGAGCCTGCAAAAGCAACCTAAAACTCTTAGATTCAGTCCACCATCAAGGTCTGAGACTTTGTCTTGGGTCCTTCAGAACATCTCCTGTTGACAGTCTCTACGTCGAGACAGATGAGCCTTCTCTTACCCAACGCCGTATAAAATTATCATTACAGTATATTACGAAGCTATATTCTAACGAGTCTAATCCTGCGTTTCACTGCATCTTCACTCCTCTTTATGAGGATTTGTATAACAAAAAGCCTTCTCTTGTTCCGCCTCTTGGGCACAGAATTAAACCATTCCTTTCTGCTGCCGGCATTGAGCTGGAGAATATATCTCCTTCTCGTCTTCTTCTCCTCCTTGGCAATTGGTGAGGCCAGACGTTGACTTAACATTAACCACATTTAAAAATCCCAAACTAATGATTTACAGTATAAACAAGAATTTAGTCAATTAAGAAATAAATATAATACCTATAAATCCTTATATACAGATGGATCCAAGGAAGGTGGCGCGGTTAAAGTGCCACTGTCATTGGGTCCAAAACAATATCTTCCAGACTACCCAATGACAGTTCAATTTTCACAGCAGAAGCAAACGCAATACTAACAGCTCTTAAATATATTAATAAACACCGTAAATATACACAATATATCATCTTTTCTGATTCTCTTTCGTGTCTTCAGGCTATTAAAAATCTTTCTTGCAAACATCCACTTTTATTAGAAATTATTGAATTGTATAATGAGCTTGCTACTGGCCAATGCGACATCGTCTTTTGTTGGTTACCCAGCCACGTTGGCATTTCTGGGAACACGATGGCTGATATTGCTGCTAAGGCTGCACTCAACAAATCTGTGACACCCCTTCTGCTCCCATACTCTGATTACAAAGCCAGCATTAGAACATACATCCGCGATCTAATGCAAAAGAAGTGGGACACCCAAGTAGGTATTAATAAATTACATGCAATAAAACCCTACATTGGTTACACCTACTTGGGTTGTCAGTCCAGATTTGAAGAGGTCATTATGCGGCGATGTCGCATTGGCCATACTAGATATACCCATGAATATTTGCTTAAAGGCGAAGATCCTCCGTTTTGCATCCCTTGTGATGAAAGAATCACAGTCAAGCATGTCTTGCTTGACTGCATTGAATATTCCATCACAAGGGATATCTATTTCAAATCCAAAACTCTGAAGGATCTTTTTAATAATGTCAGTTCTCATTTAATTATTGCATTTTTAAAAAAATTAGATTTGTTGAGTGATTTGTAAATAGATATATATTTTATTATTGGTAGTTTAGATTAGCAACTGAGATTGTTAGTGGCTGTATCCTCAAAGGGGGTTGAAGTATTGTAAAATTATTGTCCTCCTGAGAGGGTACGTAAGTCCCAAAACATTTAGTCAATCTAAGTGTACCTGCTTTTTAATCGTAGAATAGGTGTGTTTTTTAATTTATGGCTCGATGTCTCTTCTGTCGCCAATGGCTGAAGGGATGGTGTAAATCCAACTAGGGTCCATGCAGGTAGCAAAAGTAATGTAAGTCCCCATGGCTCCTAGTCTGGTGATCTACCTTCAGTTGTTGGCGATCTATAGCCCATTTGTATATTGTGTTGTCCCCTATAGTTACTATGTTTTAGATTCAATTACTAGTTTTACATATATATCTGTGATACTCTAGTTGCTTTACTGTCCTTTGTCGGCAGGTTTTTATAATGTCTATATATATATATTCTTTTTTCAATATCAAATGTTCTCGTCACGATATGGCTGAAATATTGCCGATGTGACGTTAAATAATAACTCACTCACTCACTACAATCCCCAATCGACCCCACGCCATATACACGCTCCACCGCACCCTTCTGTACCATGCCCCACAATAACCATGCCTTACTGTATCTTTGCTTCAGCTAATGAGGAATGGATGAAGATTGCCAAAGACGAACTGAACGAAGCATTAAACAAACGGGATTACAATGACGTCGCCAAAAACGTCATTCTTTTCCTGGGCGACGGTTTAGGCATCTCCACCGTCACGGCCGCGAGAATATACAAAGGTCAAGGTCAAGGTCGTTCGGGCGAAGAGACCCTGCTTGAGTTCGAGAAATTCCCGAATGTAGCTTTGTCAAAGGTTGGTTATACAATAGCAATAACTTTATATTATACATTATATACTAGGGCTGGATATTGCCCTGATTTTCATATTGCGATACATTGCAATAATTTAAAGGTCACATGCAACGTAAAACACAACTTTGCAGATTCTGATACCTTTCGGTATGGACTTACCGAAACAAAGCGTCAAAAATGCAAATTCAACTTATAAAGTTGAAAAATAACGCGATGAAAAAAAACGCGCGAAATCGGAGTTCAAACGTTTCACTAATTTTCCCCAGACTTTTCTGGGGAATACGGGTTTCAACAGCTGGGCTGCGCTCATAGCACGTGCGCAGTGAAATAGGTTCGCGCAACTTGGAAGCGGGCTGTCTGGTGAATACTCGGTGAAGGCTTTGGTGTGAGCTATTTTCCTAATGTTTTGTTGATATCTCACAGGCGCGAGCTTTTTATATGTTATGACAGTAAATAAACTGTTTATATAATTTCATTTGTCTATTTCACCACACGTTCTTCTTACCGACTCACTTTCTCAGTTCGATACTTAAAAGCAATGTCATTATTTAGCGTTGACACAATTTCTAACTGTGATATAGATATGTCGCTGTCACAGACAAAACTCAATGTCTTGTTTTATTGACACCTGTGTGTCTGCCTGCCTGTCTGCTAATGACAATATTCAATACACAACTGCAATCACTGACCACATGCAATTTGAACTTAACACCAATCAGGCTATACACCATAAACAAAACGCATTGATTTATGGCCCGAGTTCGGTCTCTGTCACATTATGTAATTACACAGACAGGCAGGTGTGATACTTGAACACATGACATGTTATGATGTCTGTTGATTGCAAAATGTTATACACAAAAAATGAGCATGTATTTACAAAACCCAACATCTCTATATATACACACACAATGAGCCGTGAAGGCGGCATCTGCTAATGAACCAGCCGTTACACTTGAGTGCACACCCACCCGCTCTGACTGGGTTCGGTATCCCGGCTGCTTCGTTTCGAGGGAGGTAAACCCAAGTACAAAATATTGCACTTTTGATTTGCGATTATACGCTTATAATTTTGTTTATTTGTTTTTTCATAATCAGCAATGCATATTATATGTCATGAAGAAGTGATAATTGTGTTTTAATTATGTTTGATTTTTTGGTTGCATGTGACCTTTAAGAGATATTGCAAATTATCTAAAAATGTACTGTCATAGACCTAACTGTCGCAGTTGTGGAAGAATATATATGTAACAATGTAAAACATTATGAAGAGAGCGCCGAAAAGCTTTCGTGAGTCCAGTCTCTTCTTATTATGAATATGCGCGTTTGATTACAAACAAGAGAAAAGTACGGTCACGTGATATGCAAATTGACGTTGATATAGTTTAAAATTACATTTGTATATTGAAAGCGAACGTGAAACGCGCTAACAAACAACAATATTCATTCATTCGCTCATCATAGATGTATACTCTCCCAAAAAAGAAACGCATCATGAAAATAGCAATTTCATGTAGCAATGAATTAAAACGTGATTCATTTTACAAAAGGTTTTGCTCTGTTTATGAGTCCTATGGTGTTTATGTTTTGAAACATCACAACAAAACGCACCATCCGTAAAATACCCGTATTTAACAGCATGAGTTTCAATTTCGGCGTGTAGTGTCACAGAATACACAATTCACATGCAATGCACGTGAAAGTTGGGGATCAAATAGTCTCAATGATGGGTATAAAAAGGTTGATCGCTGTCTGTCGATTATTCACCGTATTTGGAATATTGTTGACGAACGCAAAATGCCACGTCTAAGTGAAGCCAACCGTCATATCGCCATTGGTTTGCTTGAAGCTGGCCAGTCTCAATGTGCAGTTGCCCGACGCATGAATGTTCACCAAAGCACCATTTCACGGCTCTGGGAGAGATATCGCCGGCAGAATGCGGTAGGAGATGCCCCTCGTAGCGGGCGACCTCGAGCGACCACTGCGGCGCAGGATCGCTACATCCGGGTACATCACCTGCGTCATCGAACAGCTACGGCGACCAGTACCGCTCGACAAATACCCGGATTGGGGAGGCTTTCTGCACAGACCGTCAGGAACAGGTTAAGAGAGGCTGGTTTACGTGCCAGAAGACCTTATTTTGGCCCTGTGCTTCGACAACAACATCGTCGACATCGAGTTCAATGGTGCACCAACGTTCAGGCCTGGAACCTACCGAATTGGCGTAGAATCTAGTACAGTGATGAATCACGATTTCTATTGAAACGACGCGATGGAAGAATGGGGTGTACAGACGCCGACGCTTGCGTTCCCCAGGTGGACAGATTCGGCCGGGACAGTGTTATGATGTGGGGAGCGATCACCTGCCGTAGGAGAAGTGATTTGGTGATGATCCAGGGCAACCTGACAGCTCAACGGTACTGTGACGAAATCCTACGCCCACACCTCCTTCCAATCATTGATCGCCAGAGGGAGTTGTTTCAACAGGACAATGCCAGGCCCCACACAGCACGTCACACTAGAGACTTCCTCCAGAACCACAACATCAATGTGCTCCCCTGGCCCTCAAGATCACCGGAATTAAACCCGATCGAACATCTGTGGGATGCCCTTGACAGACGGGTGCGACGCCATAACCCTCAACCCCAGACACTTCAGCAACTCGCACAGGCACTACAGGCAGAGTGGGCTGCGATTGGGCAACACGAGATTCTGAGACTTATTCGTTCGATGCCGAGGCGATGCCGTGCAGTTCTGGATGCCCACGGTGGTCACACGAGGTATTGACTTCAGCGCCACCACACGTCTCCATGTGACACTCAAACTGACTTTCCTCGAGTTGGTGCCAAAGACGGATCAGTGTGCATTCCCAGTGTGCAATTTCGCTATATTTCATTGAATCATAAAGCCTACAAGATGTTTCAAAATCAACATAAAAATACAGTTGAACTTCCTATATGCGTTTCTTTTTTGGGAGAGTTTATGTGGTGTTTCGGTGAAAACAGCGGTTGGGAAGCTCCGCGAGTAAAACAAAACTACTTCGAAAGGTGAAAAGGACAAGGTCAAGATGTATATTTCATGCCCATTTCATATATATTTAGACAACCAGCTGTATTGTACATATATGTTGGTTCTGTGTTTTTTTTGTAAAATGTATTGTCATACACATGCAAAGATAGAATAATAAACACAAACAGATATTTCGAAACTTTCATTTTTTTAAGTAAGAATGTTTTAGTTAAGTAAGTTAGGCTATGCTCTGGTTGAGGCTATGGTCTTGCAATTAAAACAATATGTTTTTTTTTAATTCGAGCGATGACATCATCATATTTTGTCTTTTTGTATCGGTCGTGTTTGTTAAATATAAATACGAACAGGCTATGTTTTGCATTCGTGACCCACTATGGGGGAGGTTACGGAAAGGTACAAGTGGTGACAAATGGATAGCGCCTGGTTCGAATGACCAGAATGGGTGCTGAGGGACAAAAGGGATCGCGCCATGCAACTGATCCGATCAGATCTTAATTTTCTTAAAAGATCCGAAATTACCTGTGTAAAGCACCTCCACTTAAGTTTGATGCGGATCCAATGAACCGATCCGAATTCCTCTTGGCCTAATCGCTTAAGCCTGTACGATCGTAGCCTGCCTACATGCGGCAGCACTGTGCGAGCATTTCCCTGTGGGCAAGTGGTGACAAAGGGATAGCGCCTGGGTCGAATGACCAGAATGGATGCCGAGGGAGAACGGGATCGCTCCATGCAACTGATCCGATCAGATCCGAATTTTCTTAAAAGATCCGAAATTACATTTGTAAAGCCCCTCCACTTAAGCTTGATGCGGATCCAATGAACCGATCCGAATTCCTCTTGGCCTAACCGCTTATGCCGGTACGGATCGTAGCCTGCCTACATCCGGCAGCACTGCGCGATCATTTTCCCTGTTGGCGAGTGAATATTGGTACATATTATTGACGGGTAACGTTTACCACAACAACAGCTTTGCCTGGCTCATTTGGTCGTCGTCAACCAGTTTATATATTATTCTTCTATGACGGGGACTTCGATTCACTCGTTGGCACACGCTACACGTTAATTTCGGATCGTGGAAGATTTCGCATTCGGATCCGATATTAATCGTATTCGTCCACCTGTATCTGTCGATCAGATCTCTTTGCTTGTACGTTGTGCTCTCGCTCTCGCACGCACGCACGCACACAAACTGATAAATTACAAACCCGTGATGGCGCTCGGCATTAATGGGTAGGTACATCAAGGACTTGTCGGCTCTGAGTCAGTATAATGTGTCTGAGTGGGGGGTATTCACTGCGGCGTGGTATCTCATTGGGCTAGCACTATAAAACCAGCTTCAGTCTGGGCTAGTACAAGCAGCCGCACATACACATACATTCACACGCATGCACATCGTCATATGAGCGAAATATTCTCAAGCACGACGTTCAACCCAATGACACCTCACCTCACCTCACCTCACCTCACAAACCCGTGAAGATCCGAAGTTAGTTTTTATCTTCGGTAACCCATGCTCGCTGTATGAGGCAACAACTATCGGGAGGTCAGGCTCGCTGACTTGGTTGACACATGTATGTCATCGGTTCCCACTTGCGCAGATCGATGCTCATGCTGTTGATCACTGGATTTTCTGGTCCTTATTTACAGACCGCCGTCAAATAGCTGGAATATTGCGTAAACTCACTCACTCAATAAATTACAGTGGAAAATCGATGTCAGCGATGTCACACGGTCTGGTACCATGTGAACTGAGATATATTATTCCTGTACCTTCTTCGCAGGTGAGAAAACCTACTTGGGCGTCCCACTATCTTTGCATTAAATCCTCGATGTAACCTCTGTGTACAGGTAAATTCATAACTGGGTGCTGCTTTGGATGCAGCATCAACTGTTATTGTGTTGCGAGTGATTCCAGCATGGCTGGATATGTCTGTGATATTTGGATTTGAAAGTCGTGATAATGATGAAATG